TAACAACCATCCATAACTCCAGTTCCTGGGGATCTGACACCCTCTTCTGACCTCCTCAGGCATTGCATGACATAGGTGCACTTGCATACATGCAGGCAATATACTCTTACACATAAAATACAAATAATAAATAAAATATTTAAAAAATTAAAATTAGCTTTGGATTCAAGAGATAAAATGGTTAGGACTCTCCCAGCGTTGAAATGCCTTGTGATAAGGGTGAGTCTTCAGGAAGCACTGACTCCAGAAGGTTTCCACGGCCTGGCTCCTACCTTATCCACATGCTGCTGTCCTTGACCAACACGCTTCTCATCCCAAGGCCTCTAAAATTACAATTCCATTTTCCAGTTGTGTGACTTAAGGTCTTTGTGGCCTCAAAATGCCTTCAGTTGAAACGTAATATGATGAGCTTTGAGTTTTGCCAGACCAGGGCCACCATTGCAAGGCATCACTCCTCCATCTCCAGCATGTCATACTTTATGATCTTGAGAAACAGAACCAAACTAAGACAGTCCCAGAATGGCAGTGCAAGCGTATGCATGGTTCGCACAGGAAAATTCCCAGGTGATGGCCTGGGCCTCTGAGTTCCACAGGGGACAATTTGGGTGACCTCCTCATCTAGTTACCCTTCTCTTGAGAGCACTGCCCTGCCTTGTGCCCAGTGACCCTCCTAAACTCTAGCTCTTTGTGCCCATTTTCCTCTCCAATGCCCAGCATCTTCTTTCTCTTCCTTCTCAACTCCGAGGCCTGTTTATTTTTCCTTCCAAGAAAGAAGGGTGTGGGAAGGTTTGATTTACTGAAATTTTCTCTCCTGGAAACTTTCCTTGCTCTTTTTCAGAGGACTTCTTTCAGAGGATTTATTTTTATTTTATGGGTATAAGTATTTTGCCTGTATGTGTTTATATGTACTGGTAGGTATGCAATATCCACAGAGTCTAGAAAAGGGTCACAGAGACACCATGTAGGTACTGGGAACAGAACCCAGAATAATAATTATGTGTCAGATATATTGTTTTGATATGAAAAGAGGGGTTGGGGAGATGGCTTGGTGGATAAAGCACTTGCCATGCAGTGTGAGGACTGGAGTTCGAATCCTCAGCCCCCAACTGAAAGCCAGGCAGATGTGGTGGCCTGCTTGTAATGGCATGCTCAGGAGGCAGAGACAGGAGATTCTCAGAGAAAACTGGCTAACTGAACTTGCCAAATCTGTGAGTTACAGTTAGTTGTTCATGGAAAGACCCTGCCTCAGTAAACAAGGTAGAGAGCTATCAAGGAGGACATGTGATGTCAACCTCTGGCCTTCACACATGTGTACACATACACATGTATACCCCTACACACATGCAAATATACATACACAACACACACACACACACACACACACACACACAAGCAAAAAGGTTCCCAACCTTGGCTAATCCGTGTACCTCTCTGGAGAACCACACCACCCTCTGAAGCAAATGTGAGATTTCCAAAGTTTTAGAGTAAACCCTATCCTGTGCCTGTTTCTGTGGCAACAGCAGCAGCTGGGGGCTGTGTGTTTGTGCCCCCTGTGGGTACAGTGTCTGTCCTGAACTCAGACACAGAACACCAGAGCAGCATGTGCTTTCAGACATCTGAGTTTTTGCTTTTGTTTGAGTTTGTATGTGGCAGGGGAAACATGTGTGTGCATGTGTGGAGAAGACAGAGGTCAGCCTCGGGTGTTGTTCTCAGAAGCCATCCATCCCTGTATTTGAAACAGGTTGTCTCACCGGCCTGAAGGTCACCAATTTCGTTAGACTGGCTGGCCAGTGAGTCCCAGGAATCCTCCATCTTTACCTTCCAAGCTCTGGGATTACAAGCATGTCCCACCACTCCTGGCTTTTTACTTGGGTAAAGTACTTAACCAACTGAACCATCTCCCCAGCCCCTGCCCCACTGTTTTATAAACAGAAAGAAGGAGAGAGAGTGTTCAGACCCACCTCTTTCTGAACAATGATCTGGCTTAAGAGATCTCAGACACAGTCTAATGACTAAGAAGGCTGAGTAATCCTGGATAATTTGATTAAATACAATTGCTATTGGTGGAGTATGTGTGTGTGTGCCAGACTCAGGGTGAGTTACAGGAAGTGGTGAGCAATGAGGGTTAGAGGAGACAAATTATGAAACACATCATAGGCCACGTGAAGACCATTTCATTTCATCCTTAGGAATGGGGAGGGTGGGTTTTGCTGTTTTGGTTTGGTTTTTATTTTATGTGTACGAATGTATTGCCTGCATGTATGTAAACACACCCATGTTGTGAAATGCCCATGGAGATCAGAAGAGGGTATCAGATCCCCTGGAACTGGAGTTATGGATGGTTGTTAGCCACCATGTGGGTACTGGGAACCAAACCTGGGTCCTCTGTGAGAACAGCCAGTGCTCTTAACTGCTGAATCATCTTTCCGGCCCCCTTGGTTTTGACATATAAGGAAGTTGATATAGAATTGAAAAAACAAAGAAAGCTTAGAAAAGGTTAGTATAGTAACTATCATTGGAGAGTATTAGACACTCATGAAAAATATTTAGAAGGTGAATTTGCCAGAACTTTGGAAGAACTGCAGATGGCAGACCTGTGAACAGATGATTCCCATGGATGGGTCCAAGGATGATGACTTGGGTCATTTGGTGGGTGTTAGTGTCAAGAAGATGAAAATGGAGGAAGTGGGTTCTTTCCTTCTTGCTTTCTTTCTAGCCCTTACCCCAACTTTCAGGGTTTAGATTTCTACATCCAAGAATGTGTGATAGAGATAAGCCAAAGAGTTAGCAGAAGCAGTTAGTTACACAAGACCAGAGACGAAAGATTATGAATGGCAAATTGCCTATTGTGACTGTGTATGCTAAGCAGTCCTGGAAAAATGTCAGTGTTATGCAAGACGGAGCTCAAAGAAAAGCTTTTGTTATGTGAAGTCCCAGAAGAGAAAAGCAAAACTCATGTCTTTGAAAAAGAGAAAATAGAGTTCAAGTACTTTGTTTTATACTGTTGTTTCTACTTGCTATTTATTATTATGCCTAAGACGGTTGGGAGATGGCTTAGTGGATAAAGCACTGTTTGCAAGTGTGAGGACTGGAGCTCAGATCCACAGCACCCATATAAAGGCTGGGTGAATATGGTGGCCCACTTCTAATCCCAGTCAGTAATCAGAAGTGGGAGACAGGGATTCCCAGAGCAAGCTGGCTGGCTAGACTAACTAATCAACTAGCTTTGGGTTCAGTTGAGAGACCCTATCTCAGCGAATAAGGTGGAAAGTGATAGAGGAACACACCTGACATCAACCACTGGCCTACACACACACACACACACACACACACACACCTGATATCAACCACCACAGGGGGCAGCATCCTGACTGGCAAAGCCCAGCACTCACTCCTGCATGCATCCTGACAGTCACCTTGAGGCCCTTCCCCATCATTTGCTGAGGAACCTTCATCAGCACCATGGCTCCATCATACTCACTTTTTGGGGTGCCTAGAACCCTGTTTGATCCCTCAGTGCCTTAAAGACTATAGTTGTGGGGCCAGGGAAGATGACTAAGTGAGTAAGCTGCTTACCATATAAGCATGAGGATCTGAGTTCAGATCCCCAGCCAACTACAAAAAGCCAGGTGTGGCAGTACATGTCTGTAACCCCAGTGTTGGGGATGCAGAGCTAGGTAGTTCCCCAGGGGCTCGGGGGTCAGCCAGTCTGTGGAGTAGAAAGCTCTAGGTTCAGTGAGACAGCCTGTCTAAAAACTAACATGTAGGGCAATATAGGAAGACATCTGATGTTGATCCCTGGTTTCAACACGCCCAAACATGAGCAAGCACCCCTGCACACACACACACACACGCACACACACACACACACACACACACCTGACATCAACCACTGGCCTGCACACACACACACACACACACACACACACACACACACACAGAATGGTGCCTAAGGCTGAGGATGCAGCTCAGTTGGTAGGCTACTTGCCTTTTGGGAACCCTTCCCAGGGTCCCTGTAGTATAATTTGTAACTTAAGGATGCACATGTTCAGTTTGTCATCAAATAAAATAAGACAACCATAGAACAGCATATACAAAAGTGTAGCTGGGCACACCACCTCTAATCCCATCACTTAGGAGACAGGCACAGGAAGGCAGATCTCTGAGGTTGAGGGGATGTATAGCTCTAGCTGTCTTGGAACTCTCTGTAGACCAGGCTGGTGTCAAACTCACAGAGATCCACCTGCCTCTACCTCCCGAGTGCTAGGACTAAAGGCATACCCCACTATGTGGGTGTCTGATAACCTTTTGATCTTGTTTTTGTTTTGTTTTGTTTTTTTCAACACAGCCCAAGCCAGGTCTATCCCCTCCTTCTTCAAACATCCTGTCATTATTTCCTAGGGCTTGCTCTTTCTTAGACCAACCCTCATCACCTTTTCTGTGGCTCCTGCCTTATGCTCCTGGAACACCGGGAATCAGTGCCACCCATCCCAGAATATTCTACCATTGAGTTGCTGTTGCTTGCTGGATTTGGATTTCATTTGGTAGTGGGATTTAGCAGGAGACATTTACAGCAGGCCTTTCACGTCTCTGCAGAGGCTACTCTGCCTTGCTGGACTATAGGCCTTTTTCTTGCATCTCATAGAGTTGAGCTCTAAGGATTGGAGTGGTGTTTTCTTGGGTTCTCCCTGAGCCTTTTAAGGCCTTTGGCTCCACTCATGAGCCTTTATGGCTGCTCCCAGAACAAGAAGTAATACCCCTTCCCTCATTAATCATTTCATTCATACACTCGGTTGGACTATCTTTTGAATGATTTCCATTCCAGCCCAACAAGTTTCCAGCTTAGAAAATGCCAAGCGTGGTAGCTTACCCCCCGCCACTCATCTTAACCCAGGAATTTGGTCTTCTGAAAGAGCTCTCAAGCCACACCCTGTTTCCTTAGTACCCTGGGAATTAGTCACATCTTTTTAAAACTTATCAAGTGATGAAGTAGTCTCCACGGTTGGGTGCACCTTGGTCTCCACAGCAGGAGGTTGGAGGGACCCATCAGTCACAGCTCAGACTACAGGTAGATCCTGCAGGCACCTCCCTCTAGGGCCCGCCCTTTGAGTCAGACAATAAATTAATCCTCTTCTCTTTGGGCAGTGTCCCCCTTTCCTGGTATTCTCTGTCCTACATCCTGAGGGGAAGCCAGAAGAACCCTCTCCTGCTGCCATGAACTCTGCCATCACCAGCTGCGAGCCTCCCAACTGCTTGGTGAGTGCTGGTGGGGATGGAAGGGGGCACAGAAAGAGGAGCAGGAGGGAGGCCTAGAGGAGGCCCGGTATGGAGTTTGGTCTCTTGATCCCTTTACTTAGCTTCAGACTATCAGACAGGAGTGGCAGCTCTCTCAGGGAATCTCACCCCAGGTCACACCGGGATTGTATGCATAGAACTTTCCCTGAGCCCTGGACTGTGAAAGAGGAAGGAATAGGGACGAGGCTGTATCCCTCTTATCCTCTTCCGCTCACCAGGTGGACTCTGAAGAGGAACATCTAAATATCTGTTTTCCATGCTTCCCAGTATTAGGTTTTCTTTCTAAAGCCCTGAGCCCAAGTCAAAGGAAACAGAGACAGCCCAGGGGTGCCTTCAACTTTATTCTCTTCCTTACAAGCCAATGCAGCAGGTATTTCTATTTCTGTTACATAGAAGACAAGCCCGAGGCCCAAACAAATCAGGCCTCAGTGAGCCCTGTGAAGCCTCTCCAGATAGTCCCTGAACCTTGGTCCTACTACCCTCTCCAGTCTATTTTGGTCACTTAAAAATAACAGGGCATGATGGGCCTTTAATCCCAGCACTCAGGAGGCAGAGACAGGTGGATCTTTGTGAGTTCAAGGCCAGCCTAGTCTACATAGTGAGTTCCAGGCCAGCTTGGGCTACAGGAAGACCCTGCCTCAAAAAGACCAAAAGTAAAATAACTGAGTTGGAGACCCTCCATCCTTGCCAGTGCACAGGGGCAAAGGCCAGGACTGAAGCCTATCAAACCCAAGGGTTGGGGACAGGGACCACCTGTACACCGGGTTGGGCTCAATCACTGCCCTCTGGAAGCACAACAGCCACTGCCCACCCTTCATGTATTCCTAGCATTCTCTTCTGAGAAAGTGAAGTGTCCTTAGGGAAAAACGCTTCCCACCTGGCCTCACCTCAGAATTATTTCTCTATCTTTTGGAGGTTTAGGAATGAAAAACAATTAGGGAAGTATGTTGAAGATTCTACTTCCTAGGGACTATGGAGTTTCCCAGATCTTGGGTTTCCATGAAATAAATTTCCATGGAGAGTAGGGGCCTGGAACTATTGCATGAACTTGTCCCAGAGATTCATAAACAGATGTTTGCTCTCACCAGATAGGGCACCAACAACAGATCAAAATAATGATTCCACCCAAGTCTAGTGTGACAAACCAATGAGTTTATTTGTTTTACTTATAGAAGCTTAGCTAGCCCCACAGCAGCTGCAATTACCCAACAGTCTTTGACCAGCATGGATGATGATGTCTCCATTGCTGTGTAGATGGAGACCCCCTTCAGTTAACTTCCCACACTGTATATACTCTAGCACCTCCAGACACCAGAATTACATACATCTGTCAGGGAGGGACAGGAGAGAGGGAAATCTCAGGTGAGGGTCTAGTGACTGTTACTGACTCATCCCTCCATGAAGGGACATCAACAGAGCTACTCTTGTGGGTCTTGCCTTTCAAGTAGTCACAGTGCTCCGATGAAGATGATGATGCTTGCTTTGTTAAGAGGACAGATTCTACAACACTCTACCTCTTCCTCTGGTTCTTACCTTCTTTCTGTCTCCGCTTCTGTGATGTCCCCTGGGCCTTGGAGAGGGTGATAATGATATTTGATTATCTTCTTCCAACTATACCTGAATATTAGGCTATTGTGACACAGCAAAGGTCGTTTAGCCTCAGAAACTTGACTGGTTTTGAGGCTTTGCAGTATACTTCTCATTGCAGAATGACCAGTAATATACGGGCACACACACAAATGTGTAGAAAGCAACTGACAGGCGTATCACATCTAGTCAATAAAACAATAGCCTTTACTGCTTCCCTGCTGGGTCCTATGACCTCCCTAACCCCAGAATTCTGCCCTGGATTACAGCATCAGACGGGCGTTTCCTCCTGTGAAGTAGGCCCTAAATCTGTATGAAAAATTTGTTGGTTATAGGCTAATTTCTCCTTGTCCTGCAGCCACAACATGCAGGGTCTTCAGCAATAGGCTTACCATCTAGTTCTGGCATGCACACCCACAGTGGGAATAGCGTTATAGTTCACAGGGCCTCAGGGACCTTCCTGGTCAACAAGTGACTGGGAGATAGTCCACCCTGGAACTGGGATTTTATGACTCCTGGGAATGTCTTTTTCTATA